TATTACCTCTGAATGAACCATGTGAAACTTATCTCACACAAGCTGCCTGATACAAAAGCTGCACAGCTGTCTTTTCTTTTCTTCAACTGTCAAAGAAATACATGAAAGTGAAGTTTCACCAGCTGAACCTGTTTTGCAGATCAGACCTTTTATGTTGGCAAGTTCTAGCAAGTTTATCACCTGCTGTTCTTGTCAGGAGGGGGTTCTTGTTTTTAGTCATGGTGGGAATCCAGGGCTTTGACAAGTGAAAAGTTTTCAATAACTGACGTACTGTAGATGTCAGTTGATTTTGGCAAAGAGACTGAGCCAGTCGAATGACTCGGATGTGTTTTTTTAGTAATGTCAGAGTACATGGAGTTATGAGAGGTTGCATTAACACGTGTATGACTTTGAATTCACAGGAAATGTATTGGTCTGTACTTCTGCATAACATTCGATGTGGCTGTGACAGTGATTCAGGGCCTGTTATCTAATAAATAGATTTTTACGTTTCATTGAGTGTCCCGTATTTATGAAGACTATAACTATCTCAACATGTGTATATATACTTATATATGACATTAAAATGAACTGAAATGTAATGGATTTAATTCTTTCTCAAGGACAGTCTAGGCCAGTACAGCTTATCTTTTTAGTATGCTTCTCAAAGCCAAGCATCGCCATTAATGATTCTTTTGCTTATGTTAGGATTATGCAACCCTCAGTGTTAAACTTATCAGAGACATAACTAATCCCACAACTTTTGAGGTTCAGACATGATAGTAATTGAGAATTAGTGCATGAAACCCTGGCATGTGCTCATGACACCCAAACAAGAATGCGTATAACACCTTGGAAACCACTCATAACAGCCTAATAGCAAGCACTTAAAAAACTCTCACATAGTAATGCCCATGCAACCACTCATAACATCCTAAAGGCCGGGACACACCAAGCCGTCGGCGAACGTTTGTCGGGCTTATTTGTTTGGTGTGTTCCAATCGTCGGCTCTGGTTGGGCTCACGTTGGCAGCAGTTTGCCCGAATCGGCGTCGGGACTGTTGGTGCGAGTGAGAACTCTGATTGGATGTTCAGTTTAGCGAACAAGTCCGTGCAGTATAATTAAAGCGAAAGTGATTAAAACTAGTAAGTAAATAAAAGCAGTAAACAGAAGGCTGTTCTAATGTTACGTGATCTTACCCAAGCATTCCACTATGCAAATGGTTTCATAACAACATGAAATGCTTAAAATGCTGAAAGTTATCAATGTTACTGATGTTCAAAATGGTAAGCAAGTGCTGATTTGCTTACGTTTCGAATATTTCATTTTTATCGTATATCTTTGTTTCGGTTTCTCCTTTTGAATAACGAAAATATGCTATTGATAGCTGCTAATATAGACAGTTAATTCCTCTCACGCAGGCGTGGAACGCATGTATTAGTTTGCAGTCAGCTGTGGTCCGTGCGGTGTGTTCAAGTGCAGCTTTTTGGTCCAAACGCAGCTTTTTGGTCCAAACGCTGCCGTTGCGAGGTGACAACACTGTCAGTTTTAATCGCCGCTAGTTCTTTGAAGTTGGCTTGGTATGTCCTGGCCTTAACAATCACATGGAAACGCCCTGACAACCACTCATAAAAGCCTAGGAATGACAAGGAAATGCCTTGGCAACCCTTTATAACAGCCTAAGAATCACATGGAAATCTCCTAGCAACCACTCATAACACCCTCACATAGATATGCTTATGCAACCACTCATAACACCCTAACAATCACATGAAAATGCCCGGGAAACCCTTCTTAACAGCGTAGGAATCAAATAAAAATGCCCCAGCAACCACCCAAAACACCCTATTAACCACATAGAATTGCCCCAGCATCCACCAACGACACAGTAGTTTAGTAGCAGTGATTTTTGCAAAGACATGCACCGTGCAGTGGTGCAGTGCCTGTCGGTGCATTTGCCGATCAGGCTATAGATATATGACACAGCAGATAACGCTGTAATCTTTGGATCTTGGAACGATCAGAACATCAGCGAAGCCCACGATGCTGTGTCCTGTGCTTTTGCCTGTATTTACTGATGCACTAACAATATTTGTTAGAAAAGGTGATTAATTATTGATTGATAGTGCTGTCACATACTCTGATGTGCAGGGATATTGGCGGATGGACTGCACTGCGGTGTGTGTGTGGATGTTGATGACACAGCAGTGTCTGGGCCGTTTTGGGTGTGGCTTCTTCTGATTGATGGCCGAACGCCCGGCGCTCCATCCAGCCGATCGCACTCCACCTCCCCTCTCAGATGTCTTCATTGGCAAACTTGCCACCCAAGCGCTTTTCTCCTCTTTCCTCACGTCATCCCACTCTCTTCCTCCTCCTTTTCCTCTTCTTTTTGTCTGCATCTGCCGCCCTTCCGCCAGCCCTCTCACCTTACACTGGAAGCAGTCACAAGGCAGCAAGGTCAGACTCTGCCTGTCTCTCCTTTCCATTCCCTCTCGTTCTATCTTGCTCTGTCCTGTCAATAGACCCCCTCCCCCTCGGCCAGTCTGTGCTGTCTGTGACTGGCTGATCTCTGTTTTGTGAGCTGTATGACGACTCATTTTTACCCCAGGGGCTGGTGTTCTGATGCACCCAGTGACCGCGTTTCCATCTAAAACTGGGTCCCATTAAACATTGGATGTGATTTCACCCTCGAGTTTGCTCAGAAGGCCTAATACTTATAAT